TCTATACTGAAATTCCAGCACGCAACTTAACACCTATACTGAAATTCCAGGACAACTTTTTTCACTTATGCTGTTTTTCCAGGACTGGGACCCCACAGCTATACTGAATTCAGGAGAATCAGGATAAATTATCCTGATATCTGAGGCCCTGACCGCCTGCTCCTCCTGCTCCTCCTTCGCCTCCTGCGCCTCTTGTGCCTCCTGCTCCTCCTCAACCTGCGCCGGTGTCTTCAATTCACACGGGGATTCGCCCGTGCTCACGCTTTTGCAACCATCGTCGTTCGACGAATACCTATCGGAGCCAGAGTCGAACAAGCCCTCAGATGAGTGGGTGGCTGTTGAGTATGTGCCAGGACAGCGCTGGGGCCGGCCCGACGATTGTACGTGGGACGAATCTGCAGTCGGCGCCGACGTCGAGCTCCCCGACGCTGAGGAGGACTGTCACGAGGAGGGCGGCGGATGGCGCCGAGGGTGGCACGGAGGCTGGCACCGAGGCCGGCACCACTGAGGATGTGTTTCCCGAGGGTGCGCCGGGCGCCGACGAGGACGACGGTGTTGAGTACTGGTCACGCGACGGGCTCCCTGAGAATTTGCCGATACCTACCTACCCTCCTACTAATCGCAAGCGACCCCACCCTTCTACACAGAACCGTGATGCCCGCCCCCCCTCTCCCAGGCATACCGTATACTCCCGGACAAAACACCCCCCCATAATTGTACACCCACGGGTAGCTTGTGCGGGGTGGGTGTTATGATAGACCTCGTTTCTACTATACCCCCATTTTTTGCTGATTTTCTATAACACCCCCCTTTTCTTACGGATTCATTATTATAGTCGTTAACGAGTAGCTGCAATACGGAAGAATATCGTGTGAATTTCTCCCTCAATGAAATTTCGCGGTACATTCAAAGGCAATCTGCCGAGATTTGCCCCCTCCCACTATTTCTCTGTTGCCACGTGCAGGTGAATCTTCCGTTGCAAGTGGCAAGAGAGGTGTCACATGGCATTTTTGTGAGGGCGATGAAGTTCGAGGCCGAAACTGACATTCGCACCTCAGGCAACGATGCTAAAACGACCAGCAAAACACCCACATTGACTAATTAAAAAAACACTAACACTAAAATATGCCATATGTAAAGACCCGGGTATTATGTATTTTTTTCCTATGAGGAGACCCCCCCCATTTTTTCCCTGTATTTTTAGCTATACCCTAGGGTGTTATGTCCGGGAGAATACGGTAAGCTCAACGATCACAAGCGTCAGACCTATACCGCCGCCGAGAAACTGAAGTACGTCGCGCTGCTGCAGGTCGCGGTTTCGGTGCGTGCTTTGGCCCGCGAGAGCGGCATACACCGCAAGTGCCTCAGCAACTGGAAGTGCTCTGCGGATTTCCCGAAGGAAGCTCACTCCGCGCGGAAGCGGATGCACGGTCGCGGGAGATCGTCGTGGTACCAAACCGATGGAGATGAAGGTGTACGAGCGTCTCCTCGAGTGGCGCCGCAAAGGAACTGCCGTGTCGGTCGGCCGCCTGCAGGAGTGGTCGAAGGAGTTTATGAAGGAGCTCTACCCTCAAGAGAAGTGGAAGGGCATTCAAAGGTGGTCGGAACGGTTTCGGAAGCGCTGGAATCTAAGCGTCCGCATGAAGACAAGTGTTGCACAGAAAACCGCCGCTCGTAAGCCCTCGATTTCATAGTCTTGTGTAATTAACCCATGTGATGTATTTATTGGACCCGAGTGTATCGCCCTGTCTCCCACCGTATCGCAGATGTCGCGGCGCAGTGCAGGAACTTTTGGCAGTTCGTCCGAGACAAGCGACGCGAGCACGGCATCGAGACCACGTGGATCATCAACGCCGACCAGATGCCTCTGTGGCTGGAGATGCCCGCCACCACAACCGTTGAGCAAGCTAGCGTTCGCTCGGTGCCCATCAGGAGTGTCGGGTACCAGAAGGAGCGCGTGGCCGTGATGCTGGCCTGCACAGAGGACGGCGCCAAGCTTAAGCCGTGGGTTTTTTTCAAGAGGAAGACGCTGCCGAAGGGCGACTTTCGGCCTGATAATTGAGGTTCTTGGACGTGCGTCGCACATGTTTAATGTTTTTTTTTCTTCACTAATTTCTTGTTTCAATACCTGATTGTGCAGACGTGGTCGTGGCTGCCACGATAATGGGTGGATGGACGCCGCGGGCGTTATCCGCTGGCTCGAAGAGTGTGTCAAGCCGTTCTTGAAGCCGTTCTTTCGGTCGGCACTCCAGCAGCTCCATGGTGGTTCTGGATTCCTACCGCGGGGCACCTCACTGAGGGTGTGAAGGAGAAGTTTCGCGAGATGAACTGTGTGCCGGCGATCATCCCGTCGGGGTGTACGAGGGAGCCTCAACCCCTTGATGTCTCCGTCAACAAGAGTTTCAAGGTCTCCGTCCGTCAGCAAGTACCAGAAGTGGTTCGAAGCGGAGGGGCAGGAACAGCTGACTGCAGCGGGTACGGTGAGACCGTGGTTTCTAGGTACGGCAGGCACGTTGCTATAAACCCCCCTTGGTTGCCCTAATCACCGTCGTTTCTTTGTGATATTGCAAGCAGTCTCAAGAAGCCGCCACCTGCCGTGGTTCTGAGGTGGATCTCGCGGGCCTGGAAGGCAATGCCCGCCGACCTCATCAGGCGCGCCTTCCTCACATGTGGCATCAGCAACGCGCTTGACGGCAGCGAGGACCTCCTCGTCATGGTGTCGAAATAGCTAGGCAAGAATCAGGGACAGGAAAGAGGATTTTCACTAGCAGCAGTTGAGATACATATAGCAAACCCTAATTCGGGCTGTACTCGCTATAGAGTACCCCACTGCAGGCTACACAAACATCACATTTTGACACACCCCCATAGTCAAAGTGGGGTACAATCAACACAACAAGCAGGCAGATCAATAGGTCACTGTGTTAAGCAAAGCTAGAGGATATCACAAAGAGCAAGTGAGGAGGAGGGGAAATTGTGGGGGCGAGAAGATGCGAGACGACGGCTGAAGCTGCAGACACACGGGTAACAGGAGTGCGCAGAACTGTCGCTACCAGGCTAAACCCGGACTACACAGCGACAGGCGCAGCTGGCTCTCTGTGCTCCCATGAGTGCTCACACTGTGGCTACCGGGCGCAGAGCCCCGGACTACTCAGGCCATAGGGGGTCGTGGCTCTCTGGACTTCAGGCGCTGCGGACGACAAGTCGGCTACCTCCGGTCAACCTCCCCCAACTGTCCCCACACCCCTTTAACACACTCCCCACTGAACCACTAGCACCGCTCACACGCCACCCCCCCTCGTACCACTCCGACGGCTCCAACACATCCACCCCCCTCAGCGGTAGCTGCAGCAGTGGGAGACGGAGGAGGAGGAGGAGGAGCAGGGGATGGCTCACACACACGGCACCCCCATACTCTCCACCCCCAAACCCTAACTCAGGAGCGCAGGCAGCAGCGGGGGTGGGGCGCGGTCAGAAGCTCGGGGGACGGCGTGCGGCACAAGGGCAGACGGTACGGGCCGCTCACGGGCCTGGCGCAGGCCGGACGAGCCGCGCGCGGGCCTGCCTGAGTCGCGCACGGGCCTGGCGCAGCCCGTACGGGCCGCGCGCGGGCTATACAGGCCGCGCGCGGGCCTGGCGCAGCCCGTACGAGCCGCGCGCGGGCCTGGCGCAGGCCGTACGAACCCGCGCGCAGGCCCTGGCGCAGGCCGTATGGGCCGCGCGCGGGCCTGGCGCAGGTCGCGCGGGCCTAGCGCAGGTCGCTGCGGGCCGCTACGGGCGACGGGGGGCGACGTGCGGGTCCCTGGGGCGCTTGCGACGGGCGACGGGGGTCGACGCGCGGAATGACGGGGCAGAAAACTGGCCGCGCCGCCTCGGGGCGCGCGGGCGGGCAGGGCAGAGGCGCGCGGCGTGAAGGAAAAACGCTGCGCGCTCCGAGCGCACGGCAGGAAGAAAAACGGCGTGCGCCCGGGGTACGCTACAGGCACTAGAGCAGCGGAAAGCATCGGGTGGGGCCCACCCACAGGATCGACCCATAAGGGTCGCCCTGCTCTGATACCATGTCGAAATAGCTAGGCAAGAATCAGAGACAGGAAAGAGGATTTTCACTAGCAGCGGTTGAGATACATATAGCAAACCCTTATTTGGGTTGTACTCGCTATAGAGTACCCCACTGCAGGCTACACAAACATCACATTCTGACACATGGTGCACAGGCGGACGCAGCTGACCGCGGGAAGTCGATGGTCGACGACGGCATCATCACCGATGGCTTCTTTGGCAACAACTGCTAGGAGCCCGAGTCTGACGAGGAGTAGATGCTTCCTTGGTAGATAGGCCTTAGTAAACGCCTATTAAATGAGTTAGAAGTAGGATGTTGTACGCAAAGTGCTAAACTTCTAATGGAAAGTGCATGAAGATGTTACGGTTAATTGTTGTAGTTAAAAAAAAAAAAATGTTGAAGGTATGCGCTTATAATAAGTACGGGTACAAATAGGGGTGCGCTTATAATCGAGGAACGGCCATAAGCGCCATGCTCCAGATAGAGGCGCCGGCGTCTTTAATCGGATGGCGCCTATATCCGGGGCCATACGGTACATACATCCTCACATGCTAAGGTTCCGTGAGGCAGGGTATGATAGTTTGGAAGGCTTAGTGTCCCAATGGGGGCTTCAGGTGCATGTGCCTGCTTGATAGATGGAGACATGCAGACCCGTGTACTTGGATTTCACTAAAGAGTGCATGTGGATGCCTGTCGAAACACGATGGTACAGCACCTGCATTCAATGTATAGTGAAATCCTTTCATTATCAGTGTTGGGTGTTCACATTGCTTACTTTCTCTCGTTTAGTTAGCAGAGTATAAGAGAATCCAGAGACAAGTTACCGTAGCAGCAGTACAGTGCACTCCTTTCATGGCACTTCTGCAGACCTTAGTGTCACTCCAGCTAGACAGCATCACTCTGGCCAGACGGTGTCAATGACAATTGCCTACCGGTAACTTCATGCCCCAAAAGCTGTCATTTCCACTGCCAGGAGAGCATCAGCAGCAGCTGTGGGCCCCACTGCTGCCACTGGCACCACTATTGGGCAAGGCACAGCAGCAGCAGCAGTAGCAGTAGCAGAAGGGCCATGCTGGTGGCTTGAAGCAGGTGATTCATGGGAGGGTAGGGACTGCGCTCGGTTGTGCAAGGACTTGGAAAGATGAGTCTTGAGGGCGAGTGACAGGGCAGGAATGGGGATTGGCCTCCTGCCGACACATACACACGGAGCATCTGTAGGGTTCAAGGGGAAGGGTCGAGGAGAGGGGGGGGGGGGGGTAGGGAGGGGGACGGGGAGGGGGGGGAACATAGAATAGTGTGTGCTTTTGTTTTCAAGGAAGGACGCAGTTCACCGGGAAAAGAGCGGGGAGTTGATCAAACGCATGAGGGCAAGGGCAGTCACTTGTTGGAGAGGAGACTGGAGATCTGGGTCCTAGCAGAGGGCAGGCAGGGCAAACATGGCACCGACAGACACACATGGCAAGTTGAGTTTTGAGTGCATGTCACCAGGGAGAATGCAGCAAGGCAGATTGTGAGTCGGATCAAATGCCACCATGGCAGACAATCCGTGGTGAGAGATGCATGGGTATGGCAGGTAGGTAAGGCCACCAAGGTGCATGCATGCATCAGGGACGCATAACATAGAAACCTCACCGCAACATCGGGCCAATCAAGTCGTGCCACGTGGAGGGCATCTGATAGCACTCGGACACATTCACCAGCAACCCCATCCACTAAGCTGCCATCAGCACATGACTCCATGCCCTCCCCTTCCCCTCCAGCTTCACTCCCTGCTCTGTCACCAGGGCGCCCTGTCCCCCCCGCACAGGGAGCAACAGAGAGGTTGGTATCACACCCTCCCCTCTGCGCCCCCCTAGCCTGTTCCACCCACAGGTGCACGCGACAGAACGCCCCTGCTGCTGCCATGCCCCGCCCGGCAATGCTCACCCCCTCCGCCCCTTCCCCCACTGCCACTCCCCCCTCTGCCACTCTCCTCTGCATCGCCCCCTCGTCTCCCTCTCTCCTCCCGGCTGCCTCCTCTGCCACACTCTCTGTGACCTCTGCCACACTCTCTGTGACCTCTGCCCCTCTCTGCCTGTCTGCGTCTGCCGCATCACCCACAGCTCTGTCAACCTCATTTGCCCCTGTCTTTTTGTCTTCCTCTGCTGACTCGAGCCCTTCCTTTGCTTCGCCCAAGCTCATCCCTGCCAGCTGATTCCTTGGAGCTGACGTGTGGCCGGCTGTGTTTGACAGGTGGCAAGATGCTGACGTGGACAGGAGGTGCAGGGGGGTTAGGGAACTCGGCCACGGGGCAGCTGAGGTGGCAGAGGAGGTGGCAGAGGAGGTGGCAGAGGAGGAGGAGAGAGACGGGGTGGCAAGGAGAGGAGCAATCTCGATAGCAGCGCTGAGGGAAGGAGGATGGGGGAAGGGGAATGCGTGACATGGGAATGCGTGACATGGGAATGCGTGACATGGGAATGCGTGACATGGGAATGCATGACATGGGAATGCGTGACATGGGAATGCGTGACATGGGAATGGGAAAGGAGGGGGAGTTGGGCAGAGAGGTAAACGGGTAAAGAGAAGGAGGAGAGTGGTTGAGAAAAAAGGGGAGTGGTGAAAGAATGGGACGGGGAAGGGAATTGGAGAATGAGAAGGAGCAGCGGATGAGAACAAGGGGACAGCGAAGTGATAGGTGGAAAGAAAGACGACAACAGGAACAGGTGTTGGGTTAATGGAGAGGAGGGGAAAATGGAAGAGGGACGAGGGTGGGTGGGGCAGGCATCAGTAGTGGATGGGGTTGGAGAGAACGGAATCGGTGGCGGAAGAAGGGAGAGTGCAGGCAAATGCGAATGACATATAAGGCGCCTCACAGTACTGCTCCCTCACAGTACTGCCCCCTCACAGTACTGCTCCCTCACAGTACTGCTCCCTCACAGTACTGCTCCCTCACAGTACTGCTCCCTCACAGTACTGCTCCCTCACAGTACTGCTCCCTCACAGTACTGCTCCCTCACAGTACTGCTCCCTCACAGTACTGCTCCCTCACAGTACTGCTCCCTCACAGTACTGCTCCCTCACAGTACTGCTCCTCACAGTACTGCTCCCTCACAGTACTGCTCCCTCTCTTCCCTCTCCCTCCCCTGCTACTATGAGTTGAAGTGTGGAACTGCCTCAAGCCTTTGCCCACGCTTACTTACCCCTTGGCAGTTTCCAATACAATGACGCGCCTCAAGCCCCAACGGCACACACTTACCCTTTAGGCAGTCCCGGTACCACCAGCAGCGGATCGGCTGCTATCACTCCCTCTGACTCCTCCTGCTCCTGCTGCAGCACACACTTACACCCTGGGCAGTCCCAATACTCTGAGGTGCCTCACACAGCAAGCGCAACACTTACCCTTTAGGCAGTCCCGGTACCACCACAAACTGCACCAATGGATCTGCTGCGATCACCCCCTCTGACTCCTGCTCTTCTTCGCTCTCCTCCCCCTCCATCTCCTCCTCCTCTCCCCCACGCTCCTCCTCCTCCTCCTCCTCCTCCTCTCTCCCCTCTCCTTCCCCACCCTTCTCCTCCCTGCCCTCTTTCCCTCCATGCCCCACCACCCACCATCGCCCCACACCCCACACCCCCTCACCTTTACCCTCTTCTCTTCCTTCACAACCCCCTTTCCCTCCTCCACCTCCATTCTCCCCGTTTCCCTCTTCTCCGCCCCCCTCCCCACTTGTCCCCGTCCCACTTCCTACTGCTGCCCAAATCTCCCTCCTCTTCCTCCGGGCAGCTGCAAAAACCTCCTCAACTGCCCGTGCCACCTCCTCTCTCTCCCCAACACCCACATCCCGTGCCAAATACACTGTCATCGCGATACAGTCCCTCCCAACACTCAAACACCCCTTCCGAACCCATTTCCTCCACCCCTCTCCCCCACTTCCTCTCCTGCCACTCGCTCCCCCTCCACTCCCTTCCCCCCAACTCCCCTCCTCCTCACTCTCGCCCCCGCCCTTCCCCCACCCAACAGCCCCCCCTCTCCCCTTCACCACAGCAGCAACAGCCTCGCAGCTTCTCAGCGCCCTCTCTGCCTGCTGCCTCGCCCCCCCCCGACCAGCTCCATAACGGCCGGGTGTAGACCCAGCTGCCCCGCCATCCACAGCACTCCCTTGTGGCTCGTGCACTGGGGGAGGGAGAACAAGGCGAGAGGGGCGATGGAGCAGGAAGAGGGGAAGGGTGAGAAGAATATTCTACATAGTTACAGCTTCTCAGCGCCCTGTATGCCTGTCTCCTCGCCCCTCCCTCCACCAACTCCATGACTGGCGGGTCCAGACCCAATTGCTCAGCCATCCACAGTACCCCATTGAAACTCGTGCTCTGGGGGACGGGGGGGAGGAGGGGAGATGGGGAAGGGTGAGCAGAAATTCTATGAGCTCGCAGCTCCTCAGCGCCCTGTCTGCCTGCTTGTCTCCTCGCCAAAATCCCTTCCCCCCCCCCCCCCACTAGCTCCATAACGGGCGGGTCTAGACCCAGCTGACCCCCCATCCACAGCACCCCATTGTGGCTCGTGCAATGGGGGAGGGCAGGAAGGGGGACGGAAAAGGGACGGGGAGGGGGAGGGAGAAGAGGGGGAAGGGGGAGCAAAGAACCAACCATACATGTCTGCCTGTCTCCTCTACATGGCTGCTGCTTCTCACCGCTCTCTCTGCCTCTCTCCTCTGCCTCTCTCCTCTGCCTCTCTCCTCTGCCTCTCTCCTCTGCCTCTCTCCTCTGCCTGTCTCCTCTGCCTGTCTCCTCGCCCCCCCTGCCACCACCAGCTCCATAACGGGCGGGTCTAGACCCAGCTGACCCTTGAGTCGACTCAAAAGACCCAGCTGACCCTTGAGTCGACTCAAAAGACCCAGCTGACCCTTGAGTCGACTCAAAAGACCCAGCTGACCCTTGAGTCGACTCAAAAGACCCAGCTGACCCTTGAGTCGACTCAAAAGACCCAGCTGACCCTTGAGTCGACTCAAAAGACCCAGCTGACCCTTGAGTCGACTCAAAAGACCCAGCTGACCCTTGAGTCGACTCAAAAGACCCAGCTGACCCTTGAGTCGACTCAAAAGACCCAGCTGACCCGCCATCCACAGCACTCCCTTGTGGCTCGTGCACTGGGGGAAAGGAGAGGAAGGGGAGGAGGGGAGACTGGAGGGAAGGGGAAGGGGGCAATGGGGAGGAAAAGGATACTTGATGGCAGCTCCTCCGCGCCCTATACGTTGCAGGGAGTTTTTGAGAATTCTCGAAAACTCTTTTTGAGAATTCTCGGAAACTCTTTTTGAGAATTCTCGGAAACTCTTTTTGAGAATTCTCGGAAACTCTTTTTGAGAATTCTCGGAAACTCTTTTTGAGAATTCTCGGAAACTCTTTTTGAGAATTCTCGGAAACTCTTTTTGAGAATTCTCGAAAAAGAAGATACTTGCTGGCAGCTCCTCCGCGCCCTGTCGGCGTGTCTCCTCGCCCCTCCCCCCACCAGCGCCATCACAGGCGGATCGAGCCAGACCCAGCTGACCCGCCATCCACTCCACAGCACTCCCTTACAGGCGCCATCCAGCACTCCATTACAGGCGGATCCAGCACTCCCTTACAGGCGGATCCAGCACTCCCTTACACAGCATCACAGGCGCCATCCATCATCACAGGCGCCATCCAGCATCACAGGCGCCATCCAGCATCACAGGCGCCATCCAGCATCACAGGCGCCATCCAGCATCACAGGCGCCATCCAGCATCACAGGCACCATCCAGCATCACAGGCGCCATCCAGCATCACAGGCGCCATCCAGCATCACAGGCGCCATCCAGCATCACAGGCACCATCCAGCATCACAGGCGCCATCCATCATCACAGGCGCCATCCAGCATCACAGGCACCATCCAGCATCACAGGCGCCATCCATCATCACTGGCGCCATCCAGCATCACAGGCGCCATCCAGCATCACAGGCGCCATCCAGCATCACAGGCGCCATCCAGCATCACAGGCGCCATCCAGCATCACAGGCGCCATCCAGCATCACAGGCGTCATCCAGCATCACAGGCGCCATCCATCATCACAGGCGCCATCCAGCATCACAGGCGCCATCCAGCATCACAGGCGCCATCCAGCATCACAGGCGCCATCCAGCATCACAGGCGCCATCCAGCATCACAGGCGCCATCCAGCATCACAGGCGCCATCCAGCATCACAGGCGCCATCCAGCATCACAGGCGCCATCCAGCATCACAGGCGTCATCCAGCATCACAGGCGCCATCCAGCATCACAGGCGTCATCCAGCATCACAGGCGCCATCCATCATCACAGGCGCCTCCAGCCACCCCATTGTGCCTCGTGCCCCTCAGCCACCCCGTTGTGCCTCGTGCCCCTCAGCCTCCGCCATTTGCCCACAGAGGGAAACAGGGGGAGATGGGGAAGGAGGAAGAGGTGGGAAAGGGGAACGGGGAAAGGGGAAAGGGGAAAGTTAGGGAATGGGGAAGGGGGCAGGGGGAAGATGGGGAAGGTGGGGAAGGTGGGGAAGTGGGGAGAAATTTGTCGAAGTGGATACCTGGCTGTAGGGGCCGATGCAGGAGGGCGCCCAGCAGGACACGCCCTTCACATTTGGGGAAAGAGGGGGAGAAGCGGGGAGAGAGAGAGGGGAAAGAGGGGGAGAGGGAGGTTGGCCCACATGTACCTGGCTGTAAGGGCCGATGCAGGAGGGCGCCCAGCACGACACGCCCTTCACATGCACCACGTGCTTCTCCCCCCGCTGCCTCGTTCCGTGCTGTCTCACTCCCCCATCCTGCTGCTGCTCCTGCCGCCCCTGTCCCTCCTGCTGCTCCCCCCCTTCCTCTCCACCACTCCCTCCCCCGTCTTCTCCTTCTCCTCGTCCCACACTGCTTGCCCCCCTGCCCCATGCCACACGTCAACTGCAACACTGCATCCCTTCCGAGAACCTTCCGTGCTGCTTCCCCCGCTGCCGCCCAATGACGACGCGCCAAGTGGCAGCTCCACAGTGGACCGCGACGGCACGCCGTCCACACACTCGGCCTCGGTGATGTGGCGCACGTACGCTGAGTTGGCGGCGCCGAACTGCGCCATGTCAGCGAGGTACAGGTGCACGTAGAGGGCGTGGGCCCAGGAGAGAGAGAGGGAGCGGAGGGTGTGGGAGACGGAGGAGAGGGCGATGGAGACATGGGAGGCCAGATCTGGGTGGGGGAGAGGAGGGGAATGGAGGAGATAGGGAAGGTGGGGGAAAAGGGGGAGATGGGGGAGATGGGGGAGAGGGCAGACGGGACAGAGGATAAGAATCGGGTAGACGGTTTTAGAGTCTGATGAAGGGAAAGGTGCGCCGTGTGAGCGCGGTAGAGGTGCACGTAGAGAAGGCGTGGGCCCAGGAGAGGGAGAGGGAGAGCGAGCGGAGGGTGTGGGAGATGGAGGAGAGGGCGATGGAGAGATGCGAGGCCAGGTCTGTGTGGGGGAGAGGAGGAGATGGGCGAGATGAGGTGGATGGGGACGAAGGGAGAGAAGGCAGACTAGACAGAGGATAAGAAGCTGGTAGATGGTTCAACCGCCTGACAAAGAGTCAGGTTTAGGGCGAGGTGGGCGTAGAGGGCGTGGAACCAGGAGAGGGAGAGGGAGCGCTGGGTGTGGGAGACGGAGACAGGAGGCCAGATCTGTGTGGGGGAGGGGGGTTGGGGTTGGGGAGAGGGCAAACATTGCAGCAGAGCAGACGAATAATATTGGGGAATGGCTGAGTGCGAACGTCGGAATGAGTGCAGTGCAGGTGAGTGCAGTTATCTTCAGTAACATCCTTACCATCTCTGGCACCCTCACCATCATCCTTATCCTCAGCATCACTCTTACCATTTGCATCATGCCCCTCTGTGTCGCATGCAATGAGGGTGAACCCATGCCGCTGCACCGTCACTGCCACCCGCACTCCATCTCCTTTGCCTCCCTCTCCTCCCTCTGCTGAATCCCTGCCTGCTGCTCCCCTTGCTGGCACCACTGCAGTGCCATTGTCATCCTCGTTAAGAGCATCCTCGTCATTGGCATCAATGATCACCGGAGGAGGGAGCGCCACGTCAGCAGCAGCAGCATCAGCAGGAACAGCAGCAGCATCAGCAGGAGCAGCAGCAGCCCCGTCCTGGGTCTTGCGTGCCACGTGGAAGGCTGTGATTCGCAGCACGCCCACAGGCGCAACGGGGTCTGGCGAGTGCAGGATGATGTGAGAGCTGTCCACCACTATGCGCGCATGCTGTATGCATGGTGGGAAATGGGAAGGGAGGGAGTGAGCGGCAGGGACGTGAAGAGCGGGAGAGGAAGGCAGTGCTTTGCTGCACTACGCAAGGCTACAAGGGCAACAGGGTTGGGGGCGAGAGCAGGATGATGTGAGAGCTGTCCACCACTATGCACGCTTGCTGGTAGTGTGTGGCAGGTGTAGGGGAGGGAGGGAAGGCCGCAAGGATGTGAAGAGAGGACGAGGAAGGGAGAGCTCTAGTGCACACCCAACACTAGATGAGTGCCCAAAGGAGCATGATGGAGTGTGACCCAACAGGGTCGGGCGAGTGCAGGATGATGTGAGAGGGGTGGGTGGGGGAAAGGGGGATGGGATGGGATGGGAGGGATGTGAGAGCTGTCCTCCACTGTGCGTGCATGTTGGTGGAGCGAAGGGAGGGGTGTTTAGGGATAAAGGTGGGTGGAGGGGGATAGGAGGGGACGGGGAAGGTGGAAGAGATGGCTGGCAACCACCTTTAGATGCCTTCTTAGAGAGGATGGAAGGTGCATCCCGATGGTGCTTTGCTGCACTATGCAAGGCTACAGGGGCAACAGGGTTGGGGCGAGTGCAGGATGATGCAATGCAAGCACTATGCCTTCTTAGAGAGGATGGAAGGTGCATCCCGATGGTGGGAGGGGGGGAGAGAGGATGGGAAGGGACAGGTAGAGAAACTTTATAAGTTTTTTAGAGAGTCTTTCAAAGGGATGGGTGGGATAAGGAGCATGCCCCTGATATGATTTTTTGGAGTGCTAAAAGAGTATCTCGTACTCTCTAAATTTTTGGAGTATGTCCACAGTACCTTAAAGAGTATGTCCACAGTACCTTAAAGAGTATGTCCACAGTACCTTAAAGAGTATGTCCACAGTACCTTAAAGAGAGGGCAGTCGAGGGTGAGTGTCTCGTACTCTCCACCCTCCCCACACACGTTCACTCCAAACTTGCTGGTAGGAAGGGAGCACGGGGGGATGCGAGGAGAGGGCGAGAATTGAAAAGGAGAGACAGAATACGGTTGCGTGCAGAGGCAAAGAGGCACATGCTAGTGGGGTAACACACACACACATACAGGCGCTCATAGACCTGCGTCCGTCCCATTCACCCTGCCAACGCATGTATCCCCCTCTACCGCTTCGCCACATGCTTCTAAAGAATACTTCCACTGCACATGCTCCTGTGCTAACATGCCCACACACACACACACACACACACACACACACACACACACACACAACACACACACGCGCCGCACACACACACACACGCGCGCACGCGCACCCACACACACACACACACGCTCGCGCGCGCGCACACACACACACACGCGCGCCGCGCGCACACACACACACACGCGCGCACACACGCACCACACACACGCACACACACACACACACGCGCGCGCGCACACACACACACACACAGCGCGCGCACACACACACACCGTGCGCGCGCACACACACACACACACACACACTCGGCGCGCACACACACACACACACACACGCGCGTGCGCACACACACACACACCACACACACGCGCGGCCACACACACACACACACGCGCGCGCACACACACACACACACACACGCGCGCACACACATACACACACACGCCGCGGCGCACACACACACACACACACACACACACCTCGCGCGCGCACACACACACACACACGCGCGCGCACAGCACACCACAACACGCGCGCACTCACACACACACACACACACACAACACGCGCGCACTACACACACACACACACAACACACGTGCGCCACACACACACACACGCGCGCGCACACACACACACACACGCGCGCGTGCGCACACTCACACACACGCGCGCGCCGCCCACACACACACACACACACACACACACACCCCTCTCCCCCTTTCCCCCCCACACACACACACTCACACGCAAGGGCCAACCCCCTCACCCTGCCAGCGCATGCATGGTGCCTCGGATCTCCTCCAACCGCTTCCCCAGATGCTTCTCCGGTCTTAGGCCCAGTGCCGCCACCTTGATGAGAATAGCGTGGATGCCCGATGCGATCTGGTGAACATTGATACAACATAGCCACCATACAGGAGAGGGTGAGACGGCTTTGAGTCGACTCAAAAGTCACCTCAGATGCGATCTGGTGAACATTGATACAACATAGGACCATACGGGAGAAGGTGAGACGGCGGATTATCAGGCAACGCATGGCCAGAGCGGCGACCTTGATGAGAATGGCATGGATGCCGATGCTATCTGGTGAGGGGGGCATAGGAGGGTGGGGATCTTTTTTCCCAATCAATGCCCGCTGCAGAGAGAGGATCATCTCTAGGAAAACAGCATCCCACCCCACCCCACCCCCACCCACCCCCACCCCCACCCCCACCCCCACCTCAGCGAACCACACCCCCACAACCCCACCAACACAACACCCCACCCCACCACCTCACCATGTCATCTAGAAGGTAGGCGAGGGGAGTGAGCGCAAGTCTGGAGCACACATGTTCCACCCCACTGCACCTGCATCCCACCCCACCCCACCCCACCCCACCCCACCCCACCGCACAGTACCTACCCCACCAAGCTACAGCCTCACCATATTATCTAGAAGAGCCTTCTGTGGTCGCTGCCACAGGTAGGCGAGGGGGGTGAGGGCCAGTCTCGAGCACACATGCTCCACCCTCTCCCTTTGATAATCTGATGCTATCGCTCCACTGACACGCCTTGCACGGCTGTGGGTGTGGAAGGAAGGGATGCAGATAGAGGAGAAAGCACAGCCTAGAAAAGCGTGCACCTCCGCACAGCCTAGAAAAGCGTGCACCTCCGCACAGCCTAGAAAAGCGTGCACCTCCGCACCATGAACGCAGGATGGATGGATAGATCATGGAAAGGGAGGAGAGGAGGAAGGCCCACCTTAGACAGGCGAAACGTAGATGAAGAAAGAAGGAAGGAGACGAGAAAAAAGATATAAACGCTACTAAGAATATTCTTACCTGGGAGGTGTTTCTTGACGACCCGGAGCAGCACCTCCATGTCCTCCACCTCATCCCCTGCTGTCGTGCTGTACCTCATGGCCAGGTGCCTGGCGGGTAGGGAGTGGGGGGTGGAAGCATGGGGCGTGGGCGGGGTAACAACGTGGTGAGTGTGGGGTGTGCGACGAGGAAGGGAGGCAGCAGCACCTCCATGTCCTCCACCTCATCCCCTGCTGTCGTGCTGTACCTCATTGCCAGGTGCCTGGCTGGTAGGGAGTGGGGGGTGGAAGCATGGGGCGTGGGCGGGGTAACAACGTGGTGAGTGTGGGGTGTGCGACGAGGAAGGGAGGCAGCAGCACCTCCATGTCCTCCACCTCATCCCTGCTGTCGTGCTGTACCTCATTGCCAGGTGCCTGGCGGGTAGGGAGTGGGGGGTGGAAGCATGGGGCGTGGGCGGGGTAACAACGTGGTGAGTGTGGGGTGTGCGACGAGGAAGGGAGGCAGCAGCACCTCCATGTCCTCCACCTCATCCCCTGCTGTCGTGCTGTACCTCATTGCCAGGTGCCTGGCGGGTAGGGAGTGGGGGGTGGAAGCATGGGGCGTGGGCGGGGTAACAACGTGGTGAGTGTGGGGTGTGCGACGAGGAAGGGAGGCAGCAGCACCTCCATGTCCTCCACCTCATCCCCTGCTGTCGTGCTGTACCTCATTGCCAGGTGCCTGGCGGGTAGGGAGTGGGGGGTGGAAGCATGGTGCGTGGGCGGGGTAACAACGGTGAGTGTGGGGTGTGCGACGAGGAAGGGAGGCAGCAGCACCTCCATGTCCTCCACCTCATCCCCTGCTGTCGTGCTGTACCTCATTGCCAGGTGCCTGGCGAGTCACATGAGGGAGGGGTTGAGGGCGGATGAGGGCGAGGATGGAATGAGGTGACAAGGGAAGCAGCAGCACCTCCATGTCCTCCCCTCGTCTCCTGCTGTCGGATGGAACCGCATGGCCAGATGCCTGGCGGACAGAACGTGTAATGTGGAGGTGCGGGTGGGGCGAGAGAGTACGGAGGACAGGATGGGGTGAGGGTGAAAGGGGGAGCAGCAGCACCTCCATGTCCTCCTCCTCGTCTCCTGCTGTTGTGCTGTGCCTCATTGATAGGTGCCTGGGGGGTTAGGGTGAGGGCGAGGGAATAAAAGCGGTGTAGAGGGGGTTGAGGTTGGGTTGGGGTGTGGGGAGAGGGCCTTGAGGCCAGGGCGAACGAGCATACTTGGAGAAAAGGGAGGGGTGAGAGGGAGGGAGGGCAGGGCGGGGCGGGGCGCGCATACTTGGAAAGGGCCTTTGATGCGGCGGCGGAAGAGAGGAGGGAGGGGTGTGGGAGGGAGAGGGAGGGATGTGGTGAGATGAGAAATGGAGGGAGGGCGGGGCGCGCATACTTGGAGGAGCCTAGATGCTGCGGCGGCGGAAGAGAGAGGGAGGGGTGTGGGAGGGAGGGAAAGGGAGAGGGAGGGGAGAATGGAGGGCAGGGAAGGGCGAGTACTTGGAGAAGCCTTTAATGCGGCGGCGG